GTACTTAATTAAGATGAGAAAATGATGCCAGAACATGTCCCAGTGGTACCGGGTCAGTTAGGACTCAAAAAAGTACTCGATACAGTGCAGAATGGCAAAATAGGTAGAGGAATGCCTAATGACTATATTTTACACGAATTCTATATTAATTTCCTTCCTATTTTAATGCCAAAATGATGAAGGAATATGAAAGAGACAAGTGTACGGTTAGATGGGAAAAGAAGGTATTATGTGTACGGTCGAATGCAAGACACGTGTACGGTCGGATACAAGACACGTGTACGGTTGGATTAAAGACATGTGGCTTGATGATGTAAGCATGATGTCATCAAGATGAGGTAAGCATGACGTCATAGGACACATGTCATCACAAGATAAAAAGAGAAAATAGATGATCCAGATCAAGTCACGTATTTTTAAGATCAACGGTCGAGATTCGATCTTGTTTTCTATAAATACCCCTCCTCACCCCTCCATTTTGTCCAAGCATAAGGAACTGATAACCTCTCAAAATTCCTACTGAGTTAAGCTGATTTAACACTCTTTTATTGGGTTTGAAAGTCAATTTTGCAGGAAACAAAGCCTGAGGAGAGTAAAGAATGGAGAAAAGTTGAAAAGAAGTCCGCCATTGCGACATCTGGGAGAAAACGCCGCGGCGACTCAAACAGAAAGGGACGAGTGCGTCTCTGTAAAAGGCGCCGCGGCGCCTTACTGAATCCGTCATGGCGCCCAAGTTGTCTCGAAGGAAGCCTGTTCGGTATAATCCGCCGCGGCCGATTATCATATGCGTCGTGGCGCCGAGCCTCGAAGGAAAGCCATTCTGTAATAGGCGCTGCGGCGCCTGGCCCCTCGCAGCTGTGCGTGTGCGTTACGTGGTAACTTAAAAAATTAGGGCATATAGAGGTGGATACTCGATTTTTCTGGGAGACTTCGACTTGGGAGCAATTTTGGAGGCTGGCTCTGCTAGGGTTTGGAGTTTTGGAGGCTTGGAACCTTTGGGCTTGAAGCTAGAAGAAATTCGAAGCTTGTAACTTGAATTTTCTGGGTTTTCTTCTTCTTCCCTTCTTGTTTCTGCTATGACTACTAACTACTCTTATAGTTGTAGTTCTTTACTCGATATGTATAGCTAAATCTATTTTTCTAGGGTTATTTTGATCTATTGTATGGATTGAGATTTGGTTTTACTATCTCTTGAGTGTTAATGATAATGTTCAGTTGTTTTTACCTTGAGCTTAATGCTTCCTTTTGTCTGGCCATCATTTGGATTGATTGATTGATTAGTCTAACTTGAGAAAGTTTAACTAATTCGTGAACTTTGGTAAAAACATGCTAGTCCAGAAATTTAATTGAGTAAATAGATGGTTTGTCGATAGAGCAGAGATGTATCTGTTGACCTAGCATAGACTAAATGGGTTTTGGTTTTTAAAGTGCAACCTTTTCAAACAAGTGCAAGAGATTGCTATGTTTTAATCGTGATTGCAAAAATTTGGTTTTGACTTGAGAAAGCTTAATCAATTCTGCAAACCCAGGCTAACTGAACTTATTGTAAAGCGCTACTTGAGAAGTAATTAATCCAGTTTCATGAAGTACTTCAGTGAAGAATAACCCTAGTCTCTTAATTGTTTCAAGGTCGATTTGATTTTATACTGCTTTAAACCATTGTTCTCCTAATTTCATTTCACAAACTCTTTTACAACAATTGTTTCACTTAACCTAATCAAATACATAATTATGATTTTCAACTCATCTAGCCTTAGTCTCTGAGGGAACGATACTTTTTATATTACTTGCGACCTGTCCACTTGCGGTTAAGATATTTGGTGAACAGGAACCAATGGGGAAGCTCTTGCAAAATGGTTTCTAGAGAGAGAAAGAAGAGGGAGAAAGAAAGGCCAAGTGATCCCAAGCCAGATCAAACTCTAAAACAAGGTATGTGTGCCGTTTTTGATGTAGTTTCTACCTCTCTTGTTATTTTTGAGCCTGGTGGTTGGTTTGATTGGATTTTTTATGATTGAAATTCTAAGGGGGCATGCTGCACGAAATTGAAGAGGTTAGGGAAAGATGAAATAGATGTTAGAAACTTGTTTAAATGCTTGAAAACAATAAGAATCAAGTGGTTTTGTGTTGATTTTGCAAGAAATCCAACTTTCCCTTAATTTGTGATTCTGTTCGGCCTTGACTGTTCTAAATGGTTAGGATTGGATTTTGATTATTTTGAGCTTGGAAATGGATTCTATATGCAAAATTACATGGGAATTGCATGTGGAAATAATTTTAGGAAGATTGGAATTAAAACTCAAAAGTTACAGTTCAATTATGTTCAAGAAAGAACCAAGTAAGAAATAGGTTGGTGTCTTGGTTCTAATGACTATTTGGCATTGTGTATGGATGTGTTTAGGACCTTGGAACATCCAAGAAGATGTTTAATAGTGTTGACCGAAAATGAATAAGGTTGGAAAGACAGGGAATCAAAGGAAAAGCAAGAGGAAAGCTATGTTACAAGGTAGTAAACTTACCTATATTGTGTGCTTGATATGTATGCTTGCATGATGTGGTTGTATTGCCATGATGTGATTAAGCTATGATGAAATGTTTGCAAAGTTATGTTTTGCCTTGACAATATGTTATGAAAGTATGAAATGCTTTAGCTTACTTTCCATGGCATTCATGTGTTAATGTTATAACATGTCATGCATATGCATTATGTCTTGCATGCTTATGGGTAGTGTTTGCTACTGAGATTCTCCCGAATCTCATCCCTCCTTAACCAACCATTTTAAGTCAATCAATGGTGGGCAATAATGGCATGAGAGGCAAGGAGAAGAAAGTGGAGAATTATTGACGTCAATGAATGATGTTATTATTCAATGTGTAATTCTCCTATTATGTAATTTATGTTATGGATGCCAATGATGCTATGTATTTAATTACAATGTTTGTGGGATGAATAGAAGTGTATGAGGATGATTGGGAAAGTGTGTATACCAAAGAAATAGAAAGAATTAAAGTAAAAAGAGGTTAAGGGATAAAACGTAGGTCCTGATGCAGTGAGTTTATAGCTCCAGTTTGACCTATCAAATGAATGAGTTAAGCCACGAAATTTGGCAGAGTTATAGTACACATCCCATGCTTTAAAATGAGCACTAGATCACCTTAATTGGATATGTACGCACGGAGATACGAATTTTCAAAGTTAAGGCACAGAATTTGAGAGTTCCAGAATTTACCAAATGAATAGTATTTTTTTTATTGATTAAACTGTACAAATTGGGCAAGGATAAGTCCAATTGGATATTTTTTCCTTAAAGAGCTTTCAAAGAGTCCTCCGTAGAATTTTATAGCACCTCAATACGATTTTTATAGAATTAGTTATGATTTTTCAAAGTTGGACCTGAAATCTGAATTTAAACCGTGAATAGTAATCCCAGTAGTTATGTTGAAATTTTTAAGCCACAGGCTTGTATTTTGACCTGCTTGAACTATAACGCTTACGAATGCGTACTCTGAGGGGTTAAAGGTAGGATGTTTCAAGATTTCTCCCGAAATCTCACCCTTTCCATATTTAAACACACCAGCTAGGGGCTGCAATATCAAGAGGCAAGGTAAAGGAATGGAGATGCAAAGGAGAAGCATATGTATTTGTTAGAACTATGAATATATGTGCCTTGAATTTTATAGGTTGTAATTATTGTGAATGGGCGTAATGTTAAATGATAATGATAGCATGTATTATTTGTGATGATGACGTATAGAAACGGTTAGTGCCTTGATGGAATGAAATTATGCATATAGAGAATTAATTATGAATTGTTAATGCAAGTAAGGGTGATAGATTATTCCTAAATGAGCCACAAATTTGTGACAGAATAAAAGTGAGGTAAATAAACGAATCTGCCAATGAAATTTGGTGAGCATCTAGAGAATATCATAAGCTTTAAAACCAGCGGTAGATCACTTAAAATGAATATATATGCTAAAAGTTATGATTACTCAAAGTTAGGGCAGAGAATATGGAAAACACTGTTTTGACCAAATAAACAGTAAAATTGCAGGAATTAACTATACAAATTGGAAAGGGTTAAGTCCATATTTATATTTTTCCCTTATAGAAAATTGAAAGAGCTTCAAATATAATTTTAAATCACCTTAATACTATTTTTTTTTATAATTAGTTATGAATTTTTAAAATTTGACTAAAAATCTGAAATTTACCACTGAATAGTAACCCAATAAACAAATTTTAAATTCTCAATTTACGAGCTTATTTCATGAACCGCTTGAACCATAATATATCCAAATGTATACTAAAAAGAGTTTAAGGAAGGATGTTTCACTATTTCTATGTGATGAGTGTAACATCTAAAATTTTAGACCTAGAGACGTAAGAAATAGCTTGAAATAGACAGGTTACTAGATTACAGTTGACAAAAGTCTTAGAAGTTTTTTGAAATGATAAGAAAGATTCTCAAGAACTAAGTTACAAAAAGAAAGTTTTCTGAAAATAAGGGACAAAAAAATTAAAGGCTATAGTGGAGTCTCGGGGGCTGAGTAAGATAAACAAGGATGAATATGTGCCAAAAGGTAAAATACTATTTTTATGTTGGCAAAAGAAATCATTTTTCTAAGAGCAAATTTAATTTTATATTTTATAAATACATATACATATATTAATTATTAATGAATTATATTTTTATATATTATTTATTATGTTGGAAAAAATATTATTAACAAATTTATTACTTCAAATAAAAATATAAATTAAAATTTATCTTTTATATAATTATTATATTAATTTATATTTTTTAGTAATTTGAACATAAAAAAAATTATTTCTGATAACAATTTTTTAAATACTCCCGCTCTATCAAAAATTACTTTTTTCCCAAAATTTATTTTTTTTAAAATCCAATCCGAAAATAACTTTTGTTTTTTTTTTTTTAATGAGCTATCATTTTGTCTGACCCAGCACTGCAAGTACTACATTGAAACATCGGATTGGGAGGTTCAAGAATCCTCTTGGACGGACTGCCCCTGCTTTATGCTCTCACCTCACGAAACAAGTTCGCATGCCCTCCCGAGGGCTGATGCTTATTAGTTCCAATAATTTTTCATAAACAGAAGGGTGAAATCAAGCGCTGCAGTCCATCCGAGATCGACAAACATCCGACAGTACGCTCGTTATTCTGTTCGGCAATTGCCATGGAGAGCTCGGGCAAAGATGAGGCAACTTTATTTCTCGACCGGACTTCGCGAATCACCAGAGGGAAAAGGATGACAAAGCTGCTTGACGAGGAAATTGAAGAGGATGAGTTGTTCTGGAATCAGGATGCTCTTAAAGAGGTGACTGTCCTTCTGCCATTTTTATTTATATATCTTTGTTTTTTCAATTTTAACGCGGAATCGTTGTTTCAACATCAAGCATGGTTAGTATAGAGGCAATGGAAGGGGAAATTTACAAAATTTCCCTCATTTTATCTCCCGGATTGCAATGTCAAGATTATAGAAGCAAAGCTTGCTGTTGGAGATCTAGTTGGTTTGAGCCGCCGTTCCTTGCTTCTTTTTTATGTTTAGTAATGAAGCTCGTCTTTTTGCGATGAAGGGGGGCTGTTACTATATTTAGTGACAGGAGTATGAAGCTAGTTTTGTGTGGTTGAGATTTTCGCTTTTCAGATTATTTTCTTCTTCTAATTGTTGGGACTGAAAATGTTATTTTCTATAAACGTTTTATATGTTACTAATTTTTAACACGTCATTGATATTCTTAGTCTTAATTTTTGAAAGAAGGGGCACTAGCTAAGGTGATCTGCTGCAGGCTTACTTGTAAATGTGTTTTGCAGGAAGCCAATGATGATAACTATGAAGAGGAGCCAGAAGTTGCTGATGAATTTGATAGCGATTTTGATGATGATGTGAGTTACTTACAAGTTCCTGTCTGTGATTATGTGCTAAAATTATTATTTTATTGCAGCTCAATTATACAAAGAGATACTTTGTGTAATGCTCATATTTTATTAATGTAGCTGTTTTGATTGCCGTATATGATATTTAGTGCTGGTAATGAATTTTAACTGTCCTCAGGAGCCTGAGCCTGATGAAGAAGGTGAAAATGATGCTGTTGAAAGGTAAATCTTTTTCCCTCCATCCAAACTTGTGATTTTCATATTTTTGTGTGGTGATATGCTAATCTACCTAAAGTTGAGTTTTCTTATAGGTTGCCAAAGAAGAAGCGATTAATATTCCCAGGGAAGAGATTGCCTAAGAAGAAGAAGAAGAAAGTCCTGTCTAAATTGGAAACTGCTACTGATGATGATAAACCAGCTGAACAGTCCACGGCAGAGGAGCATCATGATGTACCAGATGATGGAGGGGAGAGAATGATAAGGAAGTCCACTAGAACTTCAGTAATAGTTAGGCAAGCTGAGAGAGATGCAATACGTGCAGCCCTTCAAGCAACAATGAAAGTCAGTCATATTCTTAACCTTCATACTTGCCATACACGCATGAGAACACGCCCATTATTCATTTAGTAGCTATGTGAGAGTTTAATTCCTTTTCTGAATTGTGCTACTTCCTTCTTTCATTTACATAAGCCGTAATGATCCAGTGGTGTTTTCCGCCCTTTTTTTTTTTTTTTTTGGGTGGACTTGGTGAACTGGTATGATATCTTGCTGCAAATCTTTCTGAAGAGAGATTTTAGTGCATCCAAATGCAAAATAGAAGTATGGTGTTCAAATATAGAGGGAAGAAAATTCAAATATTGAAACCTTGAAAGGTATTTCCTCAAAGAGTGAGTACACGTCACATCACATCACATATACTCGAATATTTAAGAGAATGCTGTCCAGTGTAAGTGTTCTTCAAGTTTCCAGAAAAGTGTATTTGAATGTACACAATTATAGTCAACTATGTTTTAGACAAGAAATGAACATTTTTAAAAACAAGGCATAACGTAGCTGAATACATTGGACTACACTTGAATGCGTTTCAGACAAATTTAAACCTTCAGAAATAGGAATCCTTATACTAGACAATTTCATTAAACTTCCTTGAAGTTTGCTTAGAGATGTAGTCAACTATGGTCATTTACAAAGACTCATGCGCGAGTGTATCTCAAAAATATAGTTGACTGCCTTTCAGACAGAGAACAACCCAATGAAATACAAACTCTTGCTCCATAATACAAAGCCCACACTGAATATATTTCGGGCAGCAAGAATGAGAACTAACATATTTGTTTACATAAGCGAAATCTGTCGTTACATTCTAGATAATTTGGTTGTTGAAGCACGTGATTATGAACTTAACACGTCATCTCCGTTTGCTTCAAGATGCTCAATTTAAATGAGGACTTTTTTTCTCATTAAACTAAATGATTATTTGTTTTTCTTCCAATTGTTTTGTTGATTAATTTCTTGGGCTGAAGATGATTTGTTGTTTTCCTTGTCAGCCAATCAAAAGAAAAAAGGAAGGTGAAGAGAAGAAAATGACACAAGAGGAAATGCTTCTGGAAGCTGCTCAAACAGGTTTGACCCGTAACACTAGAACTGTTGATTGTTTAAAAGTTGTTAAGTTGCGAGTCCTTATAATTTCAATTGAACTAATTTTACTTTGCAGAGATCATGAACTTAAGAAATTTGGAGCGTGTTTTAGCTAGAGAGGAAGAAGTTAAGAGAAGAGCAATTGTACATAAAGCTGTCTACAATGGCCCACAGTGTCGATACATATCAAAAGATGGTAAGAAATTTTTAATGCATGATGATATTGTCTTTAGAGAGTGCATTTTATGTCCAATGGATTTGGTGACATTTACTTGTGTTATTTTGCCTGAAAACCTGTTTCAGGTTGTTCATTTTTAGAATTCAGCAAGGGGTTGTCATTTCAGTCTGAAATATCCACAAAATCTGTACCTTGTGAGTTCATCTTATGCTCCACTAGCAGTTTGGATCTTCACAATAGCATTTGGGTACATTCGTGTAATAGAACATGTGAATGCAATTCCTTGATCTATGAAGTGATTGTTGGCAAATTAGGATCGCAGCTTGTGACAGAAACTGCTGACATCATTGCTTTTTATCATCCTTGTTTCTTTTGAAATGTTCTTATCCTGTGCTTTTGTATTTGTTGCTTTCATCAGTGATAAAATTTTTCTTTGTACCAGAAAACGTATCTTTGCTTATGTATGGGGAAAATTATGTCAAGGACTAAACTTGCAAAATTTTTTCATTCCCAAGTACCTCAAAAACTTATTATGGCCCTTCTATGCAAAAACATATAATGTGTGCCGACCAAATTGCCTTTGTATTAAATAATAAAAATCGTAGTTGTAAATCCTCAAAGTATGAGCATTGAATAATAGAAATGTTAGTTGTAAATTTCTGTTGGCTTAGAGTTAAATAGTGGAATTGTCACGTCAATTTATTTTTTGAGTGGTGAGTACCTGGAGCATGATTGTTAAATATTGGAAGTGCAAGTTGTAAATATTTGCATTCTTAAAAAAAATGATGAAGGCCTATTCAGTATTTAAAAGTTAGTGCTAACTCCATTATTTAACGCTAGGGCAAAAAATTTTTATAACTACGACCTCCATTATTTGACACTTATACTTAGAGAATCTATAACTACCTGGTCACTTCCGTTATTTAAACCAAGGGCAATTTGGTCTTCACCATTTTTCTGCAGAGAAGGACCATGTGCTTTCATAGTAATTTCACATATTTGGGTCCTTGAGAATTAAAGATTTGTAGATTTGGCCCTGAAGCATAATTTTCCCCATGTCTTTAGGAGCTACTTAGATGATCTTTTTGTTGCAAAGAATCCCTCGGGAATGCTGACTAAATTTTAGATACTTTTTTCCCCCAAATTTCTTCTAGTCTTGATAATTCATTATAAGAAATAATGCAATGCTATCAAGACCCGAACAGTCTATTTTTCTATAGCAAACTAACAACTCCTTCAGAATCCTCACTGGTTGTCATACTTTTATACTGACCTTGAAATGTTCAATGTGGGAACAACTTTGATAAATTCTATATGTAACCTTTTCTGTTGATTTGAGCAAAGGATGAACTAATTTACTGTTATTTTTTCATCCTTTTTTATTCATTTGATCTTCCTATATTACTTTTCAGATCCGGAGAAATCTGTTTGTGCAATTACAGGTTTGCCTGCCAAGTAAGTGATCATGTACCAATTTGATATTTCCAGTTTCATTGTTCTTCCTATTTGAGATGTAAGAGGAACGCGTGAGAGATTTTGTTGTTGTGTGATTGTTGCTTCTAGATCCAGCTGAAATGGTTTGGAGGATTGAGGATTTGGAAGTCAGAATTTTGGTATTTGTGGGGAATCTCCAGTAGAGACCTTCCTCATTAGTTACGTTTTATTTTGCTTCTTTTTTTTTTCCCCCCTTTTTTAATATGGTGGTCATGAGAAATAGTAACTATGGAAGTGGATACATATTAGCGCACAAGAATACTTTGAAAGGCTATAATTTTGTACATAGGAATGTCTTAGCCTGATTCTTGATAGCATTGATCGAGGACCTGTTATGTGCTTCAATTTAATTAAATGGGAGCAGAGTTTAGAAAAAATAAATAAGAAACAGAGGAGAGCTAGAGTATAATAATTAGAATATTTGCATTTGCTTGTGATTTGAATGTCAAAACTAATTATAATTATGATTCTTCCGCTTATGACTGCCATCACTATAACTTAACCGAAGATCTTGGAAGACTCGTCTTTTTTAATAGCCATCTTATCACTTGTTCTTAATGCATTGCCATTGGAAAAATGTAGGTACTGTGATCCGCAGACCGGCCTGCCTTATGCAACGCCTGATGCTTTTAAAATAATTCGTCAACGGTATGTATATTCTTGATTACATAATACTTAATGAGTTAATGTTCTCAATGGTGTCTTGGGCCACTCCTTAAGGCCCAATGCACAGTTTGATGCTTCATTTTATTTGTTCAATTTTTTTTTTGTCTCTAATTACATGGGATTAGGATAGGTTTAGATTTAGTATTTTCATTGTCCTTTGTGGAGGTAACCAGAACAGCATGTATAGTTCAGCCTCTACACAGTTAAGAGAAGTCCGAGAAATTTCATTATGCATGTTAACCTCAATTAGCTGTAATATTATCTGTAAATATTTGTAGTTATAATTAATGAAGAAATATATTGGTTATAATTTATGAAGAAATATCTTTTGTACTGTCTGTACAGGCTTTGTACTAGCCTTTTGTCATTCCTTTTAGCACATTATATATACAGGGATGAATGTAATATAATCATCCTTTGCACTTTTTACAATATTCTGAGTGTCTTAATTTTTCCTCAATTCGATCTTTGTTTTACATTGTTCATTTACTTTGTTATTCTTTTCCAGTTATCCAATTTAGATGGACAAGTATTGTCCTGATCCCCAACATTTAGGGTTAATGATGAAGTGTCAACATTAGCGATTAAGGGAATTCACGTTAGGGATTTTGAGATTAAGGAGAGAAAAATATCGTGCAATTAATAGAGTACTTTAGCTTGTTAGAAAGCTGATTTTGTTTTCCCTTTTGATATACTAAAATTTTCATTTGATCAGGGTCAATGGTATCTTTTGTTTAAGACATGAGATTCACAAAATGATGTGATAGCTGAACATATATATGTTTGTGAAGCCAATAAATTTCGTTGTAGGTTCCCCCTTGTGTTATTTAATTGACTTGTCCAGAGAAATGTGACCTCTAAAGGCAGTCTAAATATGTTCTCATTGATTTATTTTCATTTAGTACACTGGATAATCTGGCTGGAAATAAATACAAGGACACTGTTCTTTACATCTAGTTTCTGTAATACTTTTTTTCAATAATATCTTTTTGAGAAAATGACAAAAAAAAGTTGGAAATTACTAAATACCAAATAAAGAATGTCAACAAAAATTTGTTCTCATTTACAAATTCAGTATTGTCTAAACCAAATAACATGTTGTTACCAAACCTGATTTGGAATTTAGTAATTTCCAGCTTTTTTTGGTTGTCATTTTCCTTATCTTTTTCTTAATGTATTTTTTCCTCTACATCTAGTTTATGTTTCCTTAAAAAAAAAAAAAAAAAAAGAAACCGAGTGGGAGAGTGGTTTATTCCTCAATTTCGAGGATGTCTGATCATCCTCTTCTTTTTCTCTTTATTTCTGTAAACTTTTTTCTACAAGAGTTATATTTTGGCTGTAAAATTAAATACTTAAGCTTTGAAGTCAAAGCCAATAGGCAGAAATGTAACATTCTGTGAATGTGATAACACAGTGGGCTCTTGCTCCACATTAACATCTGTTGTGGCAGATGTTCTGAATCGCACAATTAAATTGCCTTTATGCAGAACTTTGAATGAAAATTCTGGCGCTAGAAAAGAAATGAACATGGGGTGCTTACACGATGCAATTTCTGGAAAAGGTTTTTTGGGTAAGCAAAAGCGATCAATAATGCCAAATAAAAATGGAGATTCTTTTCATCATTCAGCATACTTTCGTAGATTTCTTGTTCCAGAAGATGAAGAATCTGACTAGCTGCTTTGGTAAGTAATTTTTTTTCTTATGATTCAATTATTAATTGTAATTTTTATTATCTGCTTTCTTCTGAACTATCATGACCCAACTCATTTTTTCCTTTTATTTTTCCTTTTGTGTGAATGAGTAGGATATCTTGCCTTACCTGTTTGTACCTTTGTGCATTGCTTTCTCTTCTCATCCGCTAGTTTTTTGGTCTTTCCGAAAAGAAAAACGTCGGACTATGACCAGGTGCATGGACTCATCGGCTTAGAAGCTAAGATAGCTAGCAAACCTTCAAACTAGCTGTTTTACCCCACCGCATTGCAGGGGTTGGCTCAATTTGCAAATTACAGGATCAAACCACGTTGACATATGGTTTGAGTGTATTTCTGGGTTCAGTGTTCCAAAACTTCGCTGCTAGACCCATAACAGACATTTCACAAGAAAGTGAAAGAAAGGATGTCGGTGCTAAGGGTTATCCTTCGGTTCTCATATAGTCATCCTATGTAAAGACCTGAGAGAAACATTCGGAAAAATCCTGGAATCAGGAATGTGTTACTGAATCTTGACTTACACAGAATTATGTTAAATCAACATCTATTTCTGCAGCCTCACCACTACTTGTACTGATAACTCTAAAAATGGAAAAAGAGAAAACAAGAGCTTGGACATTACAAATTAGTCCATTAAAGCACATAGTAAAATGACTAATACGTACTGTTTGAATAATTGGATTGCTGACGAGGTCTGATCACAATATTTAACTTTTTTATGGTGTAATCGCAAGGCTTAAAACTTATTTTGATCTTGCCAAGAGCATGATGTTATCTTGAGTTTGCATCAAATTTTTCTGGTACTGAGCTACCCTTTTGTTTATTGGTGGTTCTAGTTATACAAATGCGGAGGAATGGGATTTACATTTACTTTAGCATGTCTGATGTGGCCCATCTCTCTATCTCCATCACTACAAAATTCCCTGTACTGCAACATTGAACTCAAGTGGGCATTTCATACGGCAAAATCTTGGCTCCTGCGGCTACGGGAAATTGAGATGTGAAGCAGCATCCCTACAATATGGTGATGTTGGATAAACCTGTCCTAGTTGGAATCTGGGTGGCTAAAATGATAATATGAAAAGAGTTGGCTGAATAATGTGAGACTTTGCTTTACGCAAAAGGAATCAAGGATCTCACTAATTGAGCTTCTTTCGGAGGGATGTAAAAGAAATTCTGAGCTTGATGGAAGTGTCAATATTCTGTAAATATTGTTATCCTTCATCTTCCCCACTTGTAATTTTATAATGCCACTCGTTTAGTCATGGCAAGATGTTTTTTTGTTTTGTTTTGTGCTCTTTTAAGATCATTCATTCAGTCATGTGACCTGTTCTGTCTTGAACCTTTTCCCCGGGTGTGTATCTCTCTCTCTCTCTCTATCTCTGTGTGTGCGCGTGTGCGTGTGTGTGATATTAAACATTCCTTTTTGGTTCTTAGATGATTAAAATCTTATTTCTCGTCATAATCGTTGTGATTTTTTTGAGTATCCGGAATCAATAGTCTAGATCATTGAACTGCGATTGATCCGGGCATCCTTTATCACTGTCACTTCTACTTTTTGGTACTCCCCCTTATTTAAACAAACTTTGGAGAGAGACAATTTTTGTTTAATATTGTAAAATTGAACTATTATTATGGAGAAATAAGGAATTAGTTGTCCTTTATCTGTTGTGACTTGTTTAATTAATGCAAAATAAGTTTTTTCATTTGCAAATTTGTTTCGTGAGTTTCAAAGCATAACAATATTACTTATTATTATTAAAACTATTAGCTATCAATGTTACTATTTTCACAGTCCATATTAATGTTTTAATGGCAGAGAATAACTCATACTAGGCAAATTTTCAATTAGCCCCTTCTGAAAGAATTTAATTTCTCTTCATAAGATTTTGAAACTTTCAGTTCTTTTGACCAAAATGACATTAAATGTTATAGGTAAAAATACAATTATACTCTTGTATTATTATTATTTTTTAAAAATATCAACCTTGCCAGAGCTCTGGCCTCCAAACCTTCAGATCTCTGGCCTTTGGCTGTCAGAGCTCCTATTGCCAAAGAATTTTTTTTTTTTAAAATGAGGTGGCTTGGGGACAGTTTTGAACTTATGACCTTTTGGCACACCAACAAGATTATAACTATCAATCTATCCAATCTATTTAATTATACAATACAAAAAAAATATATATGACAAAACAAATACAAGTGTCCAAATGAATCAAATAAGGCAATTCACAACATATATTAGGCGATTTGCAAGAGGTATACAAAAATTCACAACTCCATTTGAGGCCTTGTGAAGAGAAAAATTAAATGTCAATGTTTGCATGAACAACTGAAATTAGATGATTTACATCACAAATTAGGCTATTTATAAGATATATATAGGAATTTACAACTTCATTTGAAGTTCTATGAAGAGAAAAATTAGATATTTAGAGTTGCATAAATAACTCGAATAAGATGATTTACAACACAAATTAGGCAATTTTATTTCTTTTATCGTGGATCCATTGCTCTAATGATTGAAGCAATTTTATTTCTTTTATTGCTTGCAATTTATAATTTTATATACGTAATTTTTTCCTAGTCAATTTTTATTGTGTTGGATTGAAATTAACTGGGTTGTTGAGCCACAACCTAAGCTTGACAACTAAAATAGTAAGGATAAATTTTATTAATATGATTGGCTCTATACCCACAGGATCCGTCTTAACCATCAGTTATACAAGCTTAATTAAAAAGTGGATAGCACTAATTTGCATCGTGAGTCCTTTTATTTTAGTTGTTCAAACAACTCTTAATACTTGAATCATTAGAGCAAGATAATGAAATTTGCATTGTAAAATTATGACAAGCATAATTGAAATTTATCAAAAAAAGAAATATGTATATAAAATTATAAATTGCAAGCAATAAAAGAAATAAAATTACTTTAATAATTAGAGCGAGAGATCCACAATAAAAGAAATAAAAGTGACTAATTTGTGTTGTAAATCATTTTATTTGAGATGTTCATGCAACTCTTAACATTTAATTTTTCTCTTCGCAGAATCTCAAATGAAGTTGTAAATTCCCACACACATATTGTAAATAACCTAATTTGTGTTGTAAATTACCTAATTTTAGTTGTTCATGCACCTCTTGATATTTAATTTTTCTTTCCATAGAACTTCAAATGGAGTTGTGAATTTTTGTATACCTCTTGCAAATCGCCTAATATGTGTTGTGAATTGCCATTATTTGAGTTGTTCATTCATACTTGGATACTTGTATTTGTTTTGTTATATATATAATTAAATAGATCCAATGGCTTGGTGATTACAATATTTTTGATATTCCAAGGAATTATGGATTCAAATCCTCCTTTGGCCACTTTATTTTTAAAAAGAAATTCTTTGGCCAGAGGAGCTTCCGCCAACAGTAGCTGGGGCTTCGGCAACCGGCCACCGGAGCTCGGTGAGGTTGATATATTTTTTTAAAAAATTAATGCAAAATTATAATTGTATTTTCCCTTGTAATATTTAATTTCATTTTGGTTGAAGGGGTTAAAATAAAATTTTCAAATCTTATGGGGGCTGTTGGAAACTAAATTGCTTCAGAGGGGACTAACTGAAAATTTTTCATAATATTACTATGATTTTAAATTTTTGAGGTAGCTTTACACCTAGAAACACCTCCAGGTGTTCAATGCTTGAGTAATACTTAACAATTATTGTACTAATAATTTGTTTGATTTTATGAATTTAAATAAAATCAAAATCAACCAAATTACAAATTATATATAAATGCAAGCAAATAATCATGGGTTGTTTTCATATTAATAATAAATAAATTTTATTTTTGAAAAACTTATTTTTCTTTTATTATGTATTTTGTGGCAATTTACATTTTATTTAATTAGCATCTTCACAAACTTTAACTAACTAATTTATGAATACACTAATGCTTATAATTGAGAATAGGGTTAATATGCATCCAACACTTCAAAATATTTTTTTGGATACATCCAGCATCGTGAAATATTTTTTGGTGCATCCAACACCTCAGAGTATTGATTAGGTGCGTCTAACACCCAAAAATATTTTTTGATACATCCAGCACCAAAGCAAAAAAAAAAAAAAAATTCAGGATTCTGGATGTACCTAAAAAATACTTTGACATGTTGGATACACTATAAAATATTTTGTGATGCTAGATACATCTAAAAAAATATTTAAAGGTGTTGGATGTGCCTTAGCTCTTGAGAATATAATGTAGACCCAATAAAAAGAAAATAAAAGTAGAGCATCGCTCAAAATCAAGTGGAATCACTAGGAGTGACGAACTAATTTTTTTATTTTTATTAAGTATTTTATCTAGTTTTTAATTAATTATCTTCAAGAATTTGTAAATAGTCTGAACCTAAATATAAATATAAATTGCTATACATGACAAAATGAACGCGGGCATGATGTATGCCTTTTCAGCCTTTTTCATCTGATGTCTGATTGAACGTCAAAAGTGGGATTTTTACCAAAATGCTATGAACAGTAAAATAAAATACCAAAATGCTACGGCACGAAAAGATATTACCAAAATGCTACACTTGAAATTCATCACCAGGAGATGAATTTATAAATTTCATCTCGCCCAAAACAAGCTCTTCAATAAAGTGGGAAAATTTGCAAATTCATCTGGTAGAGATGAATTTGTAAAGTTCATCTTTGAGTGATGAACTTCAGAAAAAGTATTTTTGTCTTTTTCTCCCCATTTCCATGCGTATAAGCATCCTTTCCCGTACGAATCTCTCAGAGCCACTTTTGTCTAAGTCAAAAAAGCAATTGAACTCTTTGCATGCGTCTGAAACTGAGAAGAATATTAAGTCATCTCATCTCCCTTGCCCATGAAGCTACAGTAGCATCGTGGCTTGCTATATATTTTGCATCTCCTCTTATGCCCATGAATGCGTCTGAATCGTCCGAGCTTTACTTATATATTTTGCATCTCCTCTTATGCCAGTAGCCCATGAATGCCTCTGAGTCCTCCGCATGTTGAGCTTGTGTTCCCACTTCATGTATTCAGACTTCTCTCTTCTCTCTCATCATCTTACTCTCTCGTTTTATTAGTTGCTCCAGCCTCCTCCGTTCCTTTGCTGTCTTGTTTCTCTACTCTCACTTCTAAACATTCGACACATACTTTTACTACTGCTGAGGGTATGTTATTTCTCTTGTGTATTTTTTATTTTGTCATTATAATATTTAATTTGATTTTCTTCTTTATTTTTTTATTTGATAAACTATTATTTTAAATCTCCAGGTGCTAAGTGGTGGGTTGAACAATTTCAAAAATCTATACTCTTAGGCGCCTCTTATTTTGCTGGTAAGAATCCTCTATTGTATAGTTTTAAGATCTCAAGATTTTGTTTTGATCTTTATTACCCATTTAGTCCTATTTATAAGGCACTTTTAGTATATTTCACACAGATTAAAAAACCGTTAAAATAATTTCACATCCACTATCTCATAATTTGATTATAAAAGTAACACTAATCAAGCACAAAAATGTATATTTTCATCAAGTATTTTTTTTTCAAGAGTCAGATCTGTTATGCATGAAAAGAATTAATGGCATAGGGGAAAAAAAAGAGAGTAGAAGAGGTTAATAACAAAAGGAATGAGTAGGGGATAGTGGAAAGGATGAATAGAGAGAGAGAAGAAGTGGAACATGCGGGAATAATAGCATAAGAAGAAGACAAAATTGAAGGACCTTTAGCACTGGATAAAGGAGTAAAGAAAATGTACCAATTGTGTAAATAACTTAATAAGGATAATTATGTATGTTTGTATTAAAAATTATATCAAGTGCCTTATATATAGGATCAAAATTTACACTCTCTCTGTCTTATAAATAAAACTAGAGGAGTATCTTTTACGTATATGATTTTTTTAAATGAATATATAAGAAAAAAATTCATAGCTTTAACTTTTTTTCCCATATTATTCCTTATTTGCTATCAATTTTAATAATTTTTTTGTTTTACTCGATCTTGATAGGTGTGTATTAAAGTAACTAACAATTAAAAAATTATTAAAATAAATGAAAAATTTTAGATATAAAAATAAATCTGAATAATTTTATTCATTTAATTATTTATTGTTTTAAAAAACCAAGGTTAAGAGAAATAATTATAAAAATTTAAATTGTATTTAATGAAATCAAGTAAAATATGTTTATTTACATTTAAACATATTTATAAAATATATATATATGGGGTAAAACAATTTATAAAATTAAAAGTAACAAAAGAGATGTTTGAAAACAAGAGAAAATTTCAATTAGAATAGAATAAAGACAGATAAAATTTAACT